TTTAGGAGCCTCTAGGATGCCGTTAAAAGCCATCTTCTCTGCTGGCTCTCTAGTTCTGGGCCTGGGAAAGGGGGATTAGGGGATTCTTCTCTGCCTGTGGATACCCGAATTCTCTGGAACTGCGTTTATAGCGTCGGGCTCTGACTGGTGGAGATTAACCACAAACAGGTGAGGCTCTGCGAGTTTTCCTGCTTGTCTCAATTCTGATCTAAGGCAGGGCAGACTGTTTGGATTTCATTCAAACACAGCCTTGGCCTAAAGTATCACTGCATGCACTGCAGGGAGTAGTCAGAATGAGAGGGGGGCTGCATTTGCCAAAATGCTAGAGAGGAACATTCTGAGGGAGTGGGAGAGAAAGCTCAGGATGCATACTTGCCCGCTGGCTTTGGCTCAGATTTCCTTCTCCCAGGGATGACAATTCTTTCTCTTTTAAGATTTATATTTATTTTTATACAAGTACTGGGTACAGGCCAGAGGCACAAGAGAGTGAGAGGATTCACCAGAGACAGAGCAGGGAGCAGAACAGGCAGACTGACAGAAAACACTGCTTAGGGTGTTATAGGACAGGGAGAGGGGCAGCCCAAACTCCGCAAACCTGCCTATTCTAAATGGGTTCTGCCATCCGCCGATTCAACACAAACATATGACACTTTAATGGGAAGGACTTTAATAAAAACTAGGAAACAATACAGGTAAGGCAAAGAGTCTAGTTTCTAAATGAAGCACCCAAATACCGTCCCCTCGTGGGTAAAACTCCATCCACATGGGATCGGCCAGAGCAAGGCCCCAAGCTGCCACAAGTCTAAAGCATCTTCCAGTGGGGACCCACAGAAAAGAGTCAGAAACAAACCAAACAAGCCCGAAGGAAAAGAGCAAAATCAACATCAAGATAAAAGCTGCCATGGTCACCTCCCCACGGGTCTCACCCACATCTGTGTCACCCAGTCCACGACCAAAAGACAAGCGCAGTTTCTTTACGTGTCTCTAGGCTCCATGCGCCTCCTCCAGGTCTCTTCTGGCTCCATCCTGCTCCTTCCTCCTTCTCCTCTGCAGCTTCTCCTCTTCCTGCTCAGCTCCATCCTTCCTTGGGTGGGGCAGGGAACCTGGAACTTCCCCCTTTCCTGGGGATCACCCTGTTACAAGGGGAGCAGCGGGCGAGACAGGAGAGGTCTGCTGCGCCATGTGGGTGTCTGCTGCACCATGTGGGTTTCTCCCCAGCAGACTGGGAATCACTGCTGAGGGGAGCAGTGGGCAAGACAGGAGAGGTCTGCTGCGCCATGTGGGATTCTTGCCCGGCCGGCCCGGAATCGAACTTGCGCTGCAGAGGCTGCGGACAGCTCCACAGCGGACAGCTCCACAGCGCACAGCTCAACTGGCTGCACCGCCGGGGGAAGCCCCAGGATGACAATTCTTATGCTGACCTTTGAGGTTCCCAATTCCAGGCCCCTTCCAGGGACGCTGAGAACATCCCTACCCCCTCCTGAAATTCCTCCATTAGCAATTCGGCCCTAGCCATGAAGTAGTCTCTTTAAAAATTTCACTTTCTTGGGAAGGATGACGCTTCAAGATCTCACCTCCTAAATTTTGACTGAGGCCTGAGGTTCTTCCTGAAACAGTGTAATTCACAATGAAAAGGGCAGTTCCGGGTTCCCTGCCGCACCCAAGGAAGGGCGGAGCTGAGCCAGGAGAGGGGAAGCTACAAAGCACTTGAAGGAGAAGACCTGGAAGAGGCACATGGAACAGACAGACATGTGGAGAAGAAGCTATGCCTGCTTCTCAGGCTGGGCCTGGCACCGGGACTTAGGGGACATGGAAGGAGACACTTAGAAGAGACGTGAGTGAGAGACCAGTGGGGAGGTTGCCAATGGCAGCCTTTATCTTGACTTGGATTTTGATTTTTTGCTCTTTTCCTTCCAGACTTGCCTGGCCCCTTCTGCCCCTTTCCTGTGGGTCCCCACCAGAAGGTGCCTTTAGATATGTGGCAGCTTTCAGGCCTCAGTGGCCCCACTTTGGGCCAAGCCTGTTTGGCTGGGCGTTTACCCACGAGGGGATGGGTAACTTTGGGTGCTTCATTTGGGAACTATGTTCTTTTTCTTCTCTTCTCCATTGCACAATAATTCTAGTGAAAGTCTTATGCACTAAGGGTATGTTTGTCTTTATGTGGTGGATGGCAGAATCCGTATAAAGCGTGCAGGTTTGGGGGTCCTGGGGTACCCCTCAGTCTGCCCTGTAATTTCTTCAAAGGTACCAGAGAGACCACAGAAGGACTTAACCCGGAATGCTGAAAGGAGAAGGCAGGAAGCTGGTGGGGGGCTGGCGGTGGGTCCTAGAGTGGGGACAGCAGGCAGAAGGGAGGAGGGGGATGCAAAACTCACCCCCAGCTGCTTCATGACAGGGACTCAGGCCCTCCCTGGAAGTCTGGTGGCCCAGGAAAGCCTGCACCTGAGGAGCCGGGAGTGGACACACAGGCCAGACACAGCTGCCTTTTTTCCCTCAGGAGCTTGGAGAGAGCAGCGGCCTTCCCCGCAGCAGCATCCCCGTGTCCTTCCCCCTCCCCCACGTGCTGTGGTCGGAGAACATTCCCCCTGTATACACGAGCTAGCTGGCGTAAATCAGCGTTGCCCTCTGAGCTCCAAGCTCCCTTTGGAATTTGAGCACCTATGTTTCCTTTCCTGGCACTTTCCCCTCCTCACCAACCAGCACCTCCAAAGAAGGCCAAAAGAGCCCCTTCTTCCTAAGTGTGAGGGGCTCTGTGCATGGGTGGCAGAAGCAGCCCTGCCTTGAGCTCAGACCCACCCAGGTCCCAGGCCTCCCACTTACCGCCACTGGCTCCGTGACAAGCATTCCCAGACCTGAGACCCACTGAGGGTCTCGAAGCAAAAATCCCGCAAAGGCCCCAGGACTGTGCTGTGACTCCAGGCACCTGAAGCCCCTGTGGCTCACAGAATGTGGGGTGCTTTCTAACAATGCCGGGGGGATCTGGTCCAAAGTAGCTCAGCAAAATGTGCCTTGGACAGGTAACAGCCTTCTCTATATGCCCAGTCCACCTTTCCTCCCAACGCAGACAAAAAACCTTGCTTCTTTGATCAGAAAGGGAAGGAAGAAGTCTAAGAAACTCATACGGAAGAACTTCATGGGTGCTGGAATTGTTAGGGGGAAAAGATGTCCTGAGCTAATCCCACACAGTCTTTGTGGACCCCACTCCCCGTCCAGACTAAGGCCATCAAGACATTGGGAAAGACAAATCCCGTCACCACCAAAGGAGGGTGGCTGGGACCTGAGGGTGGAGTTGGGCAGCCAGGTTGGGTATAAAAACCGATCATGTGGGCCTTGGGCTGGCTCGCTATCGCTCGCCTCCTGGCTTCACGGCTCCTGGCTTGCAGCCAGCTCTCAGAGTGCCATTTGGGATTCCGGATCGGCGGATCGGGTAGGACTTATTTAAAACTTTGTCTCCCACTTTCCTCCCTGAGCTGTCCATTTCCTCATTTCCCCTTCCCTTGTAAATAAACCTTTTATTAACCTTTCCCGTGTGCCTGCAGTAGAGCATTGATAAGTCCTTTTAAGCGCGTGGGTGAGGACCCACAGCCAGGCACCCCGTTTTGTATTGGGGCTGCCCTATAACAGTACCAGGGTCATCTGTGTATTTAAAGATGCCAGTGTTTGGCACAAGAATACTCACATCAATGGGAGCGAGTATGTACTGATGGGGAGACTTTCCTAATGCCCCCCTGATTGTACTATGCAAGGGATTGTCTTCCTGGAAGACTCGGCCTGGTTCTACTCTCCTCGTGCACTTATTTGTCTGCTCCCATGGTTATACTTGACCCACAGAGGAGGGCTGAAATTTCCCTCTGAGATGCCCTTCTTGAACTTCTTCCCTTGGGAACACACAATTATGGATCTCACTGCAAAACCACAACACTGGATACTCATTCTCTGTCCCCAGAAAATGTTCTTCCTAAACCCATAATTGGATTGCTTATTGAAAGCTCTATTTTCGCTGGGAAGTGAAAGATGTTATGCCAGAGTTGCTCTGTCAAAGCTTCTGAGAACAACAAAGCATTGTTTGGTCCACCAGCATTCGGGCTTCAGACAATTATATAAGGGAGTAGCCGTGTGCTAGTGTATACGGCTGTCTCTCACATGACTTATCTCGCATCATTGTTTCCAAATCTCTTAATCATCCAGAGAGCTATTATGTCTAGGGGTTACCAAGTTAATTGAAGGGGAAAAAGTCCCAGAATTCGGTAAAAGCTCAATGGCCCTAAACCACCCAGCACACCTTTCGTGATTTTTTCGAGATATGTAAAGGCACGCTAGCTTTGTGGCTTTATTTCAATGGCAGTGGCAGTGAGAGATGAAGGAAGCTTATTGCTTCACCTTCTATTGGCAAGCTTCGTGCCCTCGAAAGAGGTCTGGATTTAAGAGTCAAAAAGTCGGGGTTAGAACCCTACTGCCTATGGTGTTGTTTTGGGTCCTTGGATTCACTCTGGGAAAGGTTTCACTAGAGCTCCTGTTTTAGCGACATGCAGCGAGTTTCCCAGGCGAGTTTCCCAGGCGAGATTCTCCAAATTCCATGAGACAGAGACCTTAGTTATATTTAAAGGGCAGGTTTATTAGGGAAAGGGACAGAAGAGTAAAAAGACACTTGCATAGACAGCAGGGCAGGAAGAGCTGCCCCTGGAGGGACAGGTTTGCTGAGAGAGGCCTGCATGGTTGCAGGCGGGCGGCCTTGGGGAGAGCTGCCTCTGCTGAGGGAGGTCAGTGAAGAGAAGTCCCGGCATGGTACAGGTCACGGGCATGTGGGAAGTCTGCTGCCCTGCAGAGAGAGAGAGTTGGTGAAAAGAAACACCTGAATAGTCACAGGTGGGCAGAGGGATTGCTGTCCTGAGCCAGTGCAGAGACTGCACTGATAGTCTGCTATTTGGGAGGGGCTCACTCCTTGCTGATTTTGGATAACTATGCAGACTCTGAAAGGGACCGAGATTCCACAATGGGCTCAATCTCCTTATATTTGCCCTTGGGCCTGTGCTCTAGACAGCCCTACAGCAGTCTGATACCTGTTTGGATCTTATGCTTAGCAATCTGGGCATTGGAGCCTAAGGATCTTGGTTTCCATAGCTGTGTCAATGGCTATGCTAATCTCTTCTGCCCACCCCCTCCGTGTGAGCCAGGTTTCTGGTCTTGTTCACACCTCCTTTTCAGTTTTTCTATTCCTGTCCTGCATCACCTATAGCGAATATTTCCACTAATGTAGGACATTGTTGTGCTGCCCCAGGAAAACTAAGAAAATATTTAAAAGACACTTCCAAACCTTGTCCCTCAAACAGGCTGGAAAAGAAAACAACCTAGGGGAAAATCTATGTAAAACTAAGAGAATTGGAGCTATTATCTCAGGGTTCTAAACAAATGGAGGTTTCTTTTGGGAAGCAATATATTTTAGCTTCTAGAATACCTGAAGCAAATTGTCAACAGAGCTCAACAGGGATGTTTCAGATGTTTATTTCACTTCATTCCGACAGCAATCCTTGGTTCATATTTAATAGATGAGAAAATTGAGGTGCAGAGGGAACAGAGGACTTGGCCAAGATCAGACAAGTTGTGAATGCTGGAACTAGAGGTTGTGTGGGTCTGGACCCTAAATACGGTGTCCTTGGTACTGAATGACCTGGCAGAAGATCCATTAGAGGAGCAGAATATAGAGGTCGAGGGCCTCCCCAGTGGTGCAGCGGTTGAGTGCTGGTTGCGAAGCTGCCCGCGGCCTCTGCGGCGCCGGTTCGATCCCCGGCTGCTCCCCGGCCACCGGAGGAGGGTCCCACATGGCGCGCAGACCTCTCCTGCCGCCCGCTGCTCCCCTCAGCAGTGTACTTCGGTCCTTCTGCCTGCTCTGCTCCCCGCTCTGGCTCTGGTGAATTCTCTCATCTTCCCGCGCTTCTGACTGTACCCAGTGCTTGTATAAATAAATAAATAAATAAATCTTAAAAAAAAAAAAAAAGAATATAGAGGTCGAATTCTCTTCTAAAAATGAAGAGCCGCAGAATGACTTTTAGAAAAATCTTATTGCCTACAACAAACTTAATTTAAATAAAAATACACAAAGTGATTCAAAGTTAAGAAAGGGTTAAAGTCTACTATAGTTGAAGTAACTGCCAGGCAGATTCCTAATCATATAAGACAAAAAAGATATCAAATCAAAAATAATAAGGGATTGAACAAGAAAGCCATGATAAAAAGTTAACAAAATCCAATACCCTGTAGTCCCAAACTACAAAGCAACAACATTCATTTTCAAATAAAACTGACAGAAATATCAGAAAAAAAGAGTCATACTAAATTTAGAGATCTTGGGCCTCGCAGGCGGTTGAGCCGCCGCACTGTGAAGCTGTCCGCAGCCTCTGCAGCGCCCATTTGATCCCCTCTAGCCGGGCGAGGTTCCCACGTGGCACAGTAGACCTCTCCTGGCAGACCTCTCCTGCCGCCCACTGCTCCCCTCAGCAGTGTATTTCGTCAGTCTGCCTGTTCTGTTCCCTGCTCTGTCTCTGGTGAATCTTCTCACTCTCCCGCGCATCTGGCCTGTACCCTGGTTCTTGTATAAATGAATAAATAAATCTTCAAAAATAAATAAATAAATAAATTCAGAGATCTTAAGATTCAAGACAGGAAAGTTTATATTAGTCAGGGTAATGTTAGATGCTAAAATGAGAACATTTCAGTGACTTAATGCAGCAGAAATTTCTCACTGACTTAATAGTAGAATATAGATGTTCTTTGTTAGTGGACAGCTTTCTTTCCTGTAATAATTAAGAGATGAAGTTGCTTCCATTCTGGACTTGCACTTTCACATAGGATCCCAGAATCCTCTGCTTCCCGCCATCAGAAGAGGAAAGAGAATAGGAAAACCCAGACCTTCTTGGAGGCCACTGTCTGGAAATGACACAGACCATGTCAACAAATATTCCACTGGAGAGACTGTGGCCATGCCTAGGTGCAAAGGAGGCTGGGAAATCTAGTTCCTGCCCTTTTTTTAAAAGATTTATTTATTTATTTATAGAAGTGCTGGGGTACAGGCCAGATGCGCGAGAGGGTGAAAAGATTCACCAGAGACAAAGCGGGAAGCAGAACAGGCAGACTGACGAAATGCACTGCTGAGGGGAGCAGGAGGCAAGACAGGAGCGGTCTGCCACTACATGTGGGACCCTCACCGGCCGGCCAGGATCGAACCAGCACTCCAAAGGCTGTGGACAGCTTCACAGCGCGGCGCTCAATCGCCTGTGCCATCAGGGGAGCCCTAGTTCCTGCTTTTGCAGCCACTTCCCAGGAACAATTCAGCATCATGCTGGAAGGACCATGATTATTTTTGAAGGACCAGCTAGCCACCTGTGGCAGGGAGAAGCAAAGAACAAACAAGTAAACAAAGTCAAACAGAAAATAAGGAGCATTTGTCCATGAAGTAGTTGCGAGGGGCACGCGTAGGTGCAGCTGGGGATGTGTTGCTTCCAGTGGTCTGGGTGGAAGTGGGCTCAAGGGAGCAGCTACAGTCGTCAGAGGGAAGAAGGAAGCGTTCATTCATTGCAAAGGTCACTCAAAGGCATAACAGAAATGGGATGGCTAGGAGAACAAAAATAATCATGTCAACTCTCCTGTCCTCTTCCCCCTCCAAAAAAAAAAAAAAAATTGAAAGCAATACAGAAGTTTGAGGTTTGAGTCAGAGTAGTTGTTTAGGTCCTGGTATTAAAAAAAAAGGAGGGTATGCTCCAGGGAACTCTCTTGGCGTGAGGGTGGGGGAGGAAGCAGGCATTGAAATGGCTTTTTAGGGGAGCGTCAAGGGATTAGACAGCCTCACTACAGGGAGGCGACTTTACCAGCAGGCACGAGAAGACACCTTATTTTTGGCTAATACAGAAATGTCACAGAAATTGGTCACCTGCAGAAAATGTAGAAGTTCATTTTGTCAATATAAAAAGTTCCCATATAGCACATTCTCAGACTACAATGAAATAACATTAAAAATGAATAACAACAATGGAATTACACACAAAAAGGCAATGTTGAAGTATGAAGAATCTCTGAAGTTGCTTTCAAGTCAGGGAGTAAATGCAATACAAAGTGACAGGACTTTTAAAATAAAAATAAAATTAAAGAATTTGATAATATCTGGAACACAGCAATGCAGGTCTTAGGGGAGAACTTATCACTGTAAGTACCTATATTAGTATTAAAGAGAGTGAGAGAAACATAATGAACTGAATTTCTAAATCCCTTCAAAAGGGAATAAAGCAACTTCCTAAAATATAGAAGTAGAAACGTCAAATAAAAATAAGCATTATGAGAAAGATGTAAAGAACTATTTCGCAAGCAGACCAACAGTTGTCTGAAAAATTCGCAGAATTTTTGGCCGAATGATTTACAAAAAAAAAGAAAAAATGCCCAACAGTAAATCAGAGATGAGAAAAGCAATTTCACAATGAACAGGGAAGAAATTCAAAACACTTGGTGTCCTATACCCCTTCCCTGTTACTATTGCACCCTGTATATATCTCTATTAAAGCATTTATTATGCTGTAGTTTAATTATGTATTTATTTGTCTGTCTCCTGTGTTAGCCAGGCTCCTGGCAGGAAACTGATGGTGCACTCCAAAAGGTTTTACTGAAGATAGTTAATAAAGGCACTATTTGCAATAGTATACGTAGGGTTCAAGGAACCAACAGGGATTCTAAGCACCCCGAGACTGGCAAGAGCACCAAATACCACCTGGATCCTAAGAGGCAAGGAGCAGGACTGTTAGGGGAAGGTGGCCAGATGGGGCTGATAGAGAGGGGCTGCTTCCCAGCGGCTGTGGGGAGACGTAGAAGAATAAAACCACCACCGAAACAGAGCCTGGAAGGAGAGGAATAAAAACCTCAACCCCTCCTACCTCCTGACTTCTCACTTCCTGCCTTTCCTCCCAAAGATGGAGTCTGCCTGAAGCCAGAACCTGGGTGGTTGAACCCATAGAAGTCAGCCCCGCCACGGCACAGAGCAGGGTATGGAACAGATTGGGGTGGAGTTTTGGGACCACGGAATTGACAGAGCACCTGCTACGATCAGATTATGGCGTGTGGAGAACAAAGACTGCGTCTCATTTTTGTTCCGCCAGCACTTGGGGCTAATGATTCAAAAAATATGTGGTCAATGAGTGAGGAAACTGAGAGAGTCCTTATCATTCCCGGCTACATGTTAATGAAAATAACTGAGTGGCTGTGAGTGAGGACCTACATAAATATTTCCAGTACCAACAATGACAGAGGAAGAGTAACAGGAGTAGACGATTCAGACAGGAAATAATAGAAGAGGGAATATGAAAACAACATAGTTGGTTATACTTCAGTAAAGGTAAAATAAAAAATGAAAATAATATGGAAGCAGGGACACCGTATTTAGATCAATCACTGGGAAATTTTTCCAACAAACCATCCTTCCGCAATACAATCTGTACAAAAATACAGAGGAGACTGTAGTACCAAATGTATTTTATGAGGCAAATATGGTTTGTATTTCAATGCAAGAATATCAAGATAGAAAGTTATAGGTTCATTTTATGGAGACAAGAATTCTAAACACTATGGTAAGAGAAAGGATGCAGCACAAAAAACTGCTGTGAGCCAGGTACAAAGACATCATAACCTTAGAAACAATTTTAACATATCACTTTAATGGATAAAGTATAAAAAATAGATCCATTTATACTTTCGAAAACCTTTCTTGAGTGTCTACTATGTATCGGGCCCTCTTACAGGGACTGGAGGTAAGAGCGAGGAGGACAAGCCAAAAATCCTGCT